CAAAAAGGGAATATATGTTTCTGTTTTCACTCATACCAAGAATATCATCAGAAGAAAAACCAACACTTCCTGCTTTAGCAGCATTTCCTGCTTCACCCCTCTACAGCCTCTACAGTACATACCACATTATGCTCTCTGCTTTCTAAATGACATTGACTGTGGTTTACCCCGTTTGCAGGTTTCTGTTCTTCTCTCCGTTTCTCTTTTAGTCCGATTGTTTTCTCCTGTGTTGTATTGGCTGAAAACATCCGGGCCAGATCCTTCACCTAAAATGCAGCAAGCAATAAGAACTGAAAACAATCAAGCAAAGAAAACAGATAAAACCTCTCCTGAAGTAAAGAAACACTCAGGTGCAGCAGCTGCAGTGAAACAAGCTGTAAGGGCTGAACGAGTGTCAGACGTTTTGGTGCACAGGAAGTCGTACCTTCAAACCAGAGGAGAAATCTGAGAGTGGTGCATTTTCACACACTGTAGAAAAAGATGATAGTAATCATCAGCCATGTTTTTTTATTGTATTTTTCTCAATTTTACATATAAACATTCTCATATTGTGACATACATAATTTGGGATCCTTCTCCGCTGTTAGTGATGCTTTCGCTGCTGCAGAATTGATTTCGATGGGATCGCTTTTTGAATCTGTCACCATCTGTCAGAAAAGGTGGATAATAGTTTATAACGCATGAAGAATTTCAATACAGCTCCCTGTATTTGTCTCCTGTGATATATTGCAAACATATATGATATATGTTTGCTTCATGATGGATTCATCTAGCTCATGGTTTTCTGTAAAACGTGCCCGCAGAGGGGCACGGTTCTGGCTCAACTGCAGGTGGAGGAGTGGTGCAGTGCGGTGCAGAGAGCAGGTGGAGTATTTGGGACACTGGCGGTGCATTCCCTAATTAACCTGTGCTTATTAGGCAGTTTGCCCAGACCTGGAGATGGACACATGCCCACACAGAGGTGCTGTAGCTGATCTGCATACCTGACAGTGAGAAGCAAGAGCTACTGCTGTAAGAGAGAGAGAAAGCACCCTGAGGCCGGGCACATCGAGGGTAGCGACTCTTTCCTGTTATAAATGTGTGTGTTCTGTAAATAAAGAGTCCGTGCCTGATGATGCTGCATCGACACGGACACAAAGTCTTGAACTACAGAAAGAAAAACAATGAACTCCAACATAAAAACTTTAAATGTCATATTTTGCTCAACCAGCAGCTTGAAGCTAAAACAGGATCCACTCATGACTTATTTGGGTACTTCAGGCTGGATCAAAGAGCTAAATGACTTTTCCACTGATGGATGAAAGGCAACAGAAGCACTCGCCCTGCACCTGTGTGGGTTTCTGCTCCTCCCCGTGCTCCTCCTTTGCTTTGGCTGCTGTTTCCTGGGCAGAAATGACTGAAAACCTTTGAGCCAGCAGTTTCACCTGAAAGATATTGGACATATTAGAAAGCCGTGATTCATTAAATGGTGTTTGGGGTGGGTGGTTGGTGGGGGAGACATCGTAGACATGATTAAAGATTCTATATTTTGTGTATTTTAGCCTTCAGGCTAGAGCACAGGTGTTGGTCCGTGATCATGATCATGTCCCATGTTTTACATATTTGGCTCCTCCCATTAACGTATGTGTGGGTTTGTGTTGACTGTTGAGACAGGTGGAGACTGCTGATTGGCTGCTTTGAGTGCGTATTTGATGACTGGATGGACAGCAGCCTCTCAACCTCCAGCTGGCAGCCAGCAGAGAGCTGTTTACTGGGATCTTGAAATGTGAGGACTGAGCAGCAGTGTGGAATTGATTTGAGAGCCAAGAAGCTGAGAGAGCATTCTGAATTCTGTTTTCAGCTGAGTGCATTTTGGAAATAATGAATTGTAAATAATAAATTGCTGTACATATTGAGCACCTCAAAGCCGTTCAACCGGAATGAGAGACCCTTTTTATTTGCTGCTTTTTCCCCAGTTGGAAACCGAGGTTAAAGGACTGTCAGCACGACTCTTTGCGTGAAAATTGTAAAAAAATTAATTGCAGAAAAGGTTCTGGTAGCATAATTCACAGATCTGTCTGTAGTTATAAAATAAAAATTTAAAATATATGACCTCCTTCACGTTTTCCAAAAACATCCAGTGGGCCAGATTGAAGTCTTTGCCAGGCCCATACAGGACCGTGGCCCTTATGTTTGACAGCCCTGTTCTAGGTTATCCCTAACTTGGGAATGTAGTACAGGATATAAGAGGGCGTTCTACCTGAGATGGTTTTTGGTTGGCTCCGTGTTTCTCCTTTGTTGAAATCAGCGTTTCCTTGGCTAAAAACATGCGGGCGAGTTCCTTCACCTGAAAAAACATCCATAGCGACAACCAAACTCAAGCATTCCCATCAGAACGCTCTGCAGTGTCACAGCTGTGAGTGAGAGATATGCAAGACTCTGTACCTTCATACCAGTGGAGAGCTCAGCCTCTGCAGCGTGATCCACTGCAAACACAAACACAACAGCTAGATCATTGAGCATAAATGCATTACCCTGAAATCATAGAGGGGCTCCTCAGTGTCAACTATATATATGTTTCATTTTGTGTAATAAGCTAGGATATTTATAAGTAGAGCTATTTTGTTATATGTTGTAATATTTCATTTAGTTGAGTTAGTTACTCTTACTGTCTTGAGGCACATCATTTCCTGTGGGATTAATAAAGTATTCTGATTCTGAATGTTTATCGACTGAACCATACGATCACATACACTGTGTTGGATTGTCCTTCGGTGAGACGTCCACTGCTGCAGGACTTGTTTGTGTGTTTGCACTCATTACATCTGAAACGTTCTGTCAAAAAACGAGAGAATCGCTGTTAAAATTTGAGACATTTCAGAGTAAAAACTGTATCTCAAACATTTGTAAGATGTTTTCAACGACAATGCTTAAAAAGTCTTAGATTAAAAGTTCAAATGTAGCTAAATTAATTAGATTAATTCTGATCAGGTGCCGTTGGTGACTACATGCTACAGCTTCCTGTTTACCTCTGGTCTGCAGGCTCGGACTTCACAGTTCTTCCCCTCTGTCATCTGAAGTTGTGGCTGTAATTCAGCTTTGAATCTCTCCAGCCTTTCCTTGAATAAAGCCGAATGCTTCTTCTTCGGCGGGACCGGAGGTGGTGCTGTCGGGTGGTCTCTGGCTGATTTGCTTGCCTGGAGGTTTAAAATTGAAACATTTGCCATAACGTTCAAAACAACCAGAAATAAAGTGAATGAATAAAATAATGTTTCTAGTATACGTCACAAGAGGCTCGATTTTATAAAAGAAAGGACTACACTGGCTTAAAAACATGCATAAAGCTCATTGATTACTTAAAGGGGGAGCTACTTTTTTTTTGTTACATGTGGATGTTCATTGTAGATATGGTCAAATTTCCTGGCAATTCATATTTCAGGCCTTAAGGGGTTAAAGGTCATCAGTCTAATGTGTTAAATTGCAGTACCTGTGAAAATCTTTGATTCTGCGTGTGATTTTCCTCAGCTCGGCCTGCTGGTGCTGGGTTTGTGGTTGCTGGACTCATCATCTGAAAGATGGTATGCACTGTAATGCAAATGTTGACTGCTAATGACTAAAATTTGACTAAATGCCTGAACAAAGGTCGGCCTCGTACAGTCTATTCAGTACCTGTCTCTGATCCTTCATCTCTTTCTTTTCTAGCAGCTCTGCTGTTTCCGGTTCTCGAGTACTTGGATGTTCTCCGACAGATCTTCTAACCTGAAACATTTTTAGAGAAACACGTGTTATTCTTGTTTTACCAAAACACTGCTTCGTGACACCAAACTCTGGTGGTTTATTACACAAGCCGAAACATTTTTTGAGAAAGTCACAGGACTCTACCTTCAAACCCGTAGAGAATTCCTGCTGCTGGTCACTGGTGGCTCTTTGGAAAGATGGTTGTGAGGTTGGGGGTGCTGTGAGGAAAAAAGGATTGCTTAAGGATTGCTTTATTATTTTTTTCCCCAGACAATTTTTTTAAAAATAATTTGTCTTGAATAAACTCACATATACGTGATTTTGGCTTCTCCTTGATTTTGGCTGCTGTTGTTGCATAGTCTGCAGATGGGTCAATGTTTATATATCCTGTAATTGCATTACAGTCTACTGCCTAAGAGAGACAAAACGTTTCTTAAATTGAAGAAACATATGTAAAACCTAAAGTCCTAAAGTCTAAAACAGTGACATACATGTGATAATGGTTGTTGCTTTATTTGTTCCTCCTTAGATTGGATTACATTTCCTGGGTATGGCGGTGCTGAAGGCTCCCTGGCAGGTGCAGTCACCTGTAAAATATGGATTCCATTTACATGCTGCTGTTTACTCACTTTAAAGTACTATGAATGGATCCATTGTACCTGTGGAAGGGTGGGGAACTCGTAAAGTTGATGGTCTGACTTTGAGTTATTGGCTCTTTGGGTGGAGCGTTGTGCAGAAGCTGCTGTAAAAAGATCATAGTTCCAGCTTTCGCTTCTATCAAAGTCATACTCATCGTAGCTCTGTACACACCTGATTCGTATTCATCCTCTCTGAACGTTGCTGCAGAGCTGTTACTGCTGCTTGTCTTTGCTGGTCCTGGTGAATTCTGTCAGGTTAAAATGAAACTATTTGAAAACTAGCTGCCGTTATTGAAGACTTTTTACTATAGAATGAATTTAAAAAAAACAACAGCCACGCTAACTGCTCAGTGATGCTGTCAAAGAGTAGACTAAGATGGGCTACATGCATGTTAATTATGATGATCATGATGCCAGCTTGGCTAACATTTGCTGCTTAGCATTAAAGACAAAGTACATGAGGATGATGTGATTAGTTGGTTTGGTGCTGGACAGTCCCTCACCAAACTCTTCCTCTGAGGGATGTTCCACAGTCAGTAACTGTACTATAGATGTGAAATGCTAATGATTAAATACTAAAACAAAGGTTCTGCTTCAAGCAGCCCATCTGGTACCTGTGTTTGATCCTTCCTCTCTTGATTTTTGAGCATCACTGCTGCTTCCAGGGGAACCTGAAACATAGAAAAGAAACACAGCTTCTTCCTCTTTTTCAAAACACAGCGCTAAGTGATACCAAACTCTGCTGTTTTAGCACACAAGCTGGAACACTTAGAGAAAATCACAGTACTCTACCTCCTGCTGCTGAACGCTGGTGGCTCTTTGGAAAGATGGTTGTGGGGTTGCAAGTGCTATAATAAAAAGGAGGTTTATTTTAGACAGGTTTAAAAAAAAACCTGTTCTTTTGTATACATTTTGTTAATTTATTTGTTTATACATACGTGACTTGGGCTCCTCCTTGATTTTGGTTGTTCTTGTTGGATAGTCTGCAGAGCAGTCAATGCTCAGATATCCTGCCACTTCTCTACTGTCTTCTGTCTAAGAGAGACAAAAAGTTACTTAAACTGGAAAAAACAAAAATACAATAAACTTAAAATCTAAAACAGTGAGGTACCTGTGAAAATGTTTGCTGCTTCACTTTTTTCTTCTTAGGCCTGACTATGTTTCCTGGGTATGGTGGTGCTGAAGGCTCCCTGGCAGGTCTGTTCATCTGAAAAATATTGATTCCACTGACATATTTAATCACTTTAAAGTTATTTGAGCAGATATTTCCATCCTGAATCTAAATAGCAAAATACAATTAAAAAAAAAAGTCAATGCTAAATCTTAAACTGTATTACCTGCTTTTCCCGGTGTTTTACCGTAGCTGGGACTGATTATATGGTTGTTTAAAGAAGTCAAGGATAACTAAAACACAAAAGATACACTTCAATCTGTTTTGTACCTGTGTTTGCTCCCTGCTGTCATTTTTCACAGGCAGCACTGCTTGTT